TTGTTGTTGTTACTGCTGCTGTGGAGTAGGCATCATCATTATCATTATCTTGTAGAATGTAAGCGCTACCGACTCTGTGGAAATAGTCCCACCACAAGCGAGTGAACTGAACGACACGTTATCTCAGTCCGGGAACTTGGAGCGGGCGGTGTACATGTAGCCCCTGTGCAGCGACGGCTGGAGGACTGTGTGCAGGAACTGGGTCTGGGTGTACGAGCCACGGCGGAGCAAGTCTTGTGAGAAGGCACAACGCTATCGGTGATTCAGTGTCCTGTGGGGGCCTGTCCATTGATGTCCTGGGAGGCGTAATCCATCACTCGTGCGCCACTGGGGCCACCAATATTGAGAAGGCGTTGCCTCTAACGATCGCTGGGGAGATTCTCTCGACCAACTATCTCGTTTCCCGTGGGTCACCTGCGGCGTATGCTAATCGATGACCTACTTTCTGAAGGAACTGGGTTGCCATGGAACTGAGAGCGCCGGGTGTTTTTACGGCCCCTGGGACGTCTATCTGTCTATCTATCTATATACATACCCACTTACAAACGTCGATGATATGCACAAATAGTCATTAGATGAGCACACAAAAGTGTGTCATTCTCACACATCTGACATCACCAAAATAACCAACAACAAAAATAAAAAAAGTAATTCAATCCTCCTAGGCAAACCGCTGGATTCGCTCGATGGAGGCTCCCAGCAATCTCAAAGTGGTGAAGATGACGGACGGGCACTTTCTGCGTACCTTGGAGGCGTGCATCAGGATCGGCATACCCGTGTTGATGGAAGACGTGGGGGATACGCTAGACCCGGCACTGGAACCTGTGTTGTTGAAACAGACCTTTATACAGGTGGATGTTTGTTGATGTTGGTGATGGTGGTGGTGTGGTGGTGGTTGTTGTGGTGATGGTGGTGGTGGTGCTGCTGCTGCTGGTGGTGGTGTTGTGGTGGTGGTGGTGGTGTTTGTGGTGGTTGTGTGGTGGTGTGGTGGTGGTGGTGATGTGGTGGTGTGGTGGTGGTGTGGTGGTGGTGTGGTGGTGGTTGTTGTTGTGTTGTTGTTGTTGTTGTTATTGTTGTTTTTGTTGTTATTGCTATTGGTGTGGTGCTCGTTTTTTAGACGTCGGTCCTCCTGGATATTGGTTTTTAAAAAAAACACAAACAAACAAACAAACAAACAAACAAACCAATAATTCGTATCGAAAGAAAAACAAAGATGTATACAGTCTGAGGGAGATCATGACACCAGGCAGTAATCTGCGCTTTCAGATTCTCTTTGATTCCCTTGAGAGGAGAATTTGTATCGAGTGTTTCCTCATTGATAAAGTGGATAAGAAGAGAGGATGATAATATGAGCAAGAATGATGAGATCTATTTCGTAGTATTAACTGATTATTTATTTCTAGACTAAGTCATATGTTCTACTTGGCTTTCCTCGGGCTATCGTTGAAAACCACAAACCTAGTAGTTCTGAGTTCTGTGTTTTTGTAATGTTCCTCCCAGGGTGGCCGGTTGTTGATTCGGCTGGGAGACAGCGACATCGACTACGACAAAAACTTCAAGTTCTACATGACCTCCAAGATGTCCAACCCTCACTACCTGCCAGAGGTCTGCATCAAAGTCACCATCATCAACTTCACAGTCACCAGGAAAGGACTGGAGGATCAGATCCTCAGGTAACAGTGGCAATTAAATAATAATCATCGTTAGGGCTGTTTTCTCGATGTATTACTCATTCCTATCCTCTGTCACTCGCTGTCTTTCTCTATTTCTTCCTCTCTCTCTCTGTTTCTTTCTCTCTCTCACTTCTATCCCCCCTCTCTCTCTCTCTCTCTCTCTCTCTCT